AATGGTTTTGTATGAATATAAAATATTGCGGGCTACCGCAATCTAAATATGAATACAACAAATGTGTACAACAAATGTCTCAAAACACAACATAGATACTTTGGACATGCTTTTGGCCCCCAACATGGAATCACACAGCTTCAGGCACATGAGAAGCAAACTGACGAAGAAGCACCTTTTCTCTTCTATTTGCGACCTCGAGAGCGTTTTGGCTCTCCCAGGTACTGCTGTTCAAATTGCCTGCGCGATATGCCCAAAGCTTCTGCTGCTGCACGCTTCATTTGTCTGAATGCTACCACACTGGTATGATTGAGGGAACTTGCCATTGAGCCCGAGCTCGAAGCAACACCACTGCGTGGCGGCACAGGAACAGGTGCTGTAGCAACAGAACCAGTGCTTGCTGGATTGGAAGCAGCAGCGCTTGGCACAGGACCAACCCCTGAGCTGGCAGCGCCAGCAAGACCAGGCGAAGCAGAACCATATGATGTAGGAACAGCACCACCATTTGATATGGGAACAGCGCCACTGCTAAGTGCTGCATTGGGGGCAGCAGCTGGCACAGGACCAACCCCTAAGCTGGCAGCACCAGCAGGACTAGGCGAAGGAGGACCATGTGATGCAGGAACAGCACCACCACTTGATATGGGAATAGCGCAACTGCTAAGTGCTGCATTCGGGGCAGCAATTGGCACAGGACCATGTGAATTTTCCTGCGAAGGAAAACCAGCGCAACCATCTAATGTGGGAACAGCACCACTGCTAGGTGAGACCGGATCTGCGCCAGCCACATGAGCTGGGTCTTGCCTTGCAGTGGAAGTAGCCTCAGCCGGTGGTCCAGACTGCAAATCACCAATATCGGTTGTGTCTGAATCTGAGGGATTGACTGAGGGATTGAACACTGTTCGTTCATCATCTGATAATGGTTCTATGTCAGTCTGTACGCTGTTCTCCGTATCTGATGCGTCACAGTCATTGGCATTTGTTCGTGGTTCTTCCTTCAACTCCTCTTTGGTTTCCTCTTTCTTTTCTGCCTTCAGATCTTCTTTTATCTCTTCTTCTGCTGGAGAGGTCGGTGCGTAACCACTATCTGCAGGAGATGTTGGAGAGTCCTCGAAACTCACCTGAGGTGCAAAAAGAAACTCACAGCGTGGGCGATGTCGGTATAATGTGAAGTGCCTACAAACTAAAAAGGCGGAACCACCGCCCGGCACATCTTAGTTAGATGACTCTTTCATGAACCTTGACTTCGAAACACAATGAAGTGAAGTGCTACTTGGAACAAACATCCAGGAACATAAAGGTATATGTAGAGATACAAGGTGATACAAAGCGCCCCCGAAACGGTGATTGCAAGACTGTGCCATGAACACATAGATCAAAAAACTACGTTGTAATGTGAATGTTTCAGTCAAGGAACCTCAGAAAGCCCTGCGTCTCGAAGCGCGCCCATGTAGTGATCCGCATCCTCATCCATGCAGTGGACGTCATTGCCTTTGGCCATGAAGACAAAGGAACCGTTGCCTGAGGTGACATCGAAAAACTTTGCTAACGCTGTAAATTGCCTGCTATGTTTTTAGCCCGCAAGAAAGCACTGTGAGCCGGATGCAATAACACATTATTAGCAACATACATCAACATCTTTTTAGGGATTGGCGGGCCACCGCCATTCTATTGCATATATATATACTATTGCATATTACATTATATATATATGGATATTAATTTAAATATTGCGGGCCACCGCAATTTAAATATGAACATATAATATGGCGGGCTACCGCGAATGATTTATATATGAATATAAAATATTGCGGGCTACCGCAATTTAAATATGAACATATAATATGGCGGGCTACCGCCAATGATTTTTATATGAATATAAATATTGCGGGCTACCGCAATCTAAATATGAATATAAAATATGGCGGGCTACCGCCGGTGATTTTTACATGAATATAAAATATTGCGGGCTACCGCAAATTGAATATTAATATATAATATGGCGTTCTTCTTTTTGTGGCAACAAGCTGTGTTGAATTCAACAACGATATGGTTTTCTTCCTACAGACGACAAGGCGTTGACATGCTTCACACAGTCTGGGTGACAGGCGCACTGTTTTCCACCAAGCCCTAAGAGATGAGAGATTGGATTGTAACTCAGAGCAGCCTTGCCTGCTCACAAAACACACGGAGAAGTGGTTCAGGCATTGGTTTTCAATTCAAAACCGCGCTGCTTCCAACAAGATAGAGTGCAGAAAGGAACATAGCGGCACTTAGGGCAGCCTCCTGAGAACTTGGTTCGCTTCTGCTTGGGGATCTGCTTCAAAAGCAATTTCTTTGTCTCTGCCTTCGATCTCTCAGGAGCTGCGCTCTTTTTCTTTGCATTCTTTTCGTGGTCCGCCTTCTGTGACATGGGCCTCTTCATAGACGACGGAGCCGCGGCGGGCTTTTTGAAAAGCATCGTTTTATCAGCTGCACCGCCTGTCCTCTCTCCGCATTGAGCCCCCTTTGCATCCGCAGCCACCTTGAGTTTTGCAACGCTCTGAGCCAAGCTGCTGACATTGGCATGCGGCTGAATCGGCCCATCTGACTGAGAAGGTGCTTTTTCTGCTGGAGCATCTGGACCCTGAACTGCACCAACCTTGTTTGGAACGCTATGGGAAGGCCCTTGCAACGCATTTTGCTGCAAAGCCTCTTTGGAAATACCTTCTTGAACTCCATGAGGCTGCACATGCACGGAGGCATCTTGCGGAAGAGCGACTTGCGAAGGAGCGGCCTGAGAAGCTGCTTGCAAAGGAGGTAGGGACTTTGCTTGTGGCTCAGTAGAAGGGGCATCCATCAGCGCCAGTGGCGCTGCAGGTTTTGAACCAGTTGCATGAGCCCTGTTCACCAACTCAAGCAAACCTTGGTTGGGTTGAGTTGATGCATGGCGAGGAGGAAGCATGGTTATGTTCGGCATCTGTGGCTGCGCCCCAAAGCCACCAGCCGCCATTGCAGCAACAGCCGCCATTGCTGTCAGATTGAACAGCTTTCCTCCAGGACCAGTCACCTGAGACCACAGTGATTGGTTCAAGTGACAAAGGCCTTGGTCCTTTCCTTTTCTCATAGGCACGTGGCGAGCAATCTGCAAACAATCCATCACGTTGAGCCTGGGTGGCACAAAGTCATCAAAAGTGCCAATAAAGAATTGCTTCAAAGCCTCTGGTAGCCACTGAGGGTCGGAAGGCAGTGTCTCCAAATGAATGCCATGAGGCTGTGGAAGATTCAAAAGGGTTTTCAATTTCGACATCTTTGTGCTCACTTGAGCCTGTACTGTCAAGAAAAGGCTTCTGAGGCGCTCTTCATGCATCATGGTTTGCTGCTTCTCTGGGGGTTCTCTGTGCACAAGCATGGCTGTCAAAGCTGCCTGTGTCAACTCACTGGACGGCGAAATAGATGCTCTATCACAATCTGCAAACAGGCTAGTGAAGTCACTGACTCATGGTTTGCGATTGCATCCCACTCGGTTTCTGACAGGTACATGTAGAACGCTGTCCAATCCTGCATAGTTTTTCGAGCATTCCCTAGACCCTGCTCTTTTCCCATTGCATTCCCCTGCAATAGGTTCGAGCCTTGCTCAGCCATGCTACCAATGGCAAGATTGTGAAACACTTTGCAAACGCGTCTGTTTAAAGAGCAAAAATTGCGGAGACACTGTTGCAAACAAGTGAACTCTCAAGGGGAGGTCTGAAATACATACCGCATTCATCCTGGATACAAACAGGACAGCAAACCTTGATTCACTTGATGAAGCATAAGCTGCACCCTTTTTTCCACATAAGGCCCCGATCGCCAAGCCTTCTCCCATCGAGCTGTGCTAAAGGTCTACACATCTAGATTCTGCTCTCAGGCTTCTCTTGCAAGTCCTTCACATGTACCTCGAGTCCACCTTGCGCCACCCATGCGACTTGCTCATCCTTGCCATGTACTGTCCCTGGCTGCAAGAGACTCGCTCACGGTAGCTCTTGTTGTAGCTCTTCAGGTCGTGAAAGTCCAAGTAGGCAGCATCCAAGAACTCTTGGTAGCTTCGATCCTTCCAGTCCTTGGTGCTGGGGAATGCGTACACTTTCTTCGAGCGATTCACTCCCTCGTCGGCTGCTTGGCTGCTGGAAGAAGCCTTCGGAGCATGGATATTCGCAGGGCGCTTCATCGCCACCTTCTTCGCCGGGCGCTTCATCTTGACCTCTTTCTGTATCTACAAATATCTACAACACCTGTAGTGTATAGCACGAACTTGAGAAAAGGCTGTGGCTCTGCGGACTACCGCGAGCAACTCGCGGAACCACCGCGTTGCAGAACAACACAACTGACAAGAATCACACGAAAACTGCAACAAAAACAGATGCCTGAAAAAGGATGCATTTGCAACGATCACAAAAAAACAACAACATGCAGCAACATTTCTTTGATGTCAAAAACAAAGGTAAACAAAGCATGTTTCTGCAGCGTTCACCAAAAACATGCTGTTTTGACATGAGTTTTGCTAAGTTCCATAAGTTCAAACTAAGTTCAAATTAACTTTCAAGCTCTCCTACTTATTTCTTCCTTACATGTAGGTTAAAAGCTACATCTAATTTATATCATAGATATATGTTCCCGCCGAACTTACCAAACTTAACCTACTTAACCTACTACTAACATATAGTTACGTAAGTAGTAACCTCAGTTATAGATGTTAACAAACAACTAGGGGGCACATCACTGTACAAGAGAATCTCTCAAGATTTGCATGTCCAAACCTCGGCCGCTCAACCATCTTTTTCACCCAAACGCTGTGGACATGCCACATGCCCCGATCCATCCTCCGGATAGCATGGTTCACACCAGCGGAAAATAGGAAGAATGAAGAAAGGGATCGCCCACCGAAGTTCTACCACTCCTCGCCTCCGAATCGCCACCACTCGTGCCACCAACACCGGTTCCCACCGGTTCCCACCGGATTGATCCGACGGCCGAGCAGCTCACGCGAGCTCCACTTGGGCCGGGCGCGAAGCAGCAAAGCACGCAGCTGGGCCTGTCCACACAAGACACTTCAGTCTAGCCATTAGTGTATAGCCAGGTCGGCCTACTTCTGACCTACATGAAAAAGAACGATTTTGGATGTCAGGTCTGAAGTCGTGGTACCGACTTCATGTGTGTGTGTGTGTGTCACATGGTCGTCAAACCACGGTCGGTGGTGTCCTTTTTAAATTGTCTGTGCACGTCGGTGGTTTCAAAACTAGGACTGAGTTACTAGGTTACTAGGAGTTCGTGGTTCCACGGTCCACCTGACTGGTCAGGACCGCGACCCAGAGGGACCCAGAGGGACCCTCTTCCGGCCGCACTAAAATCGCCGCACTCAAATGACACACACATATAGCCTGTTCTCACACCCACATGAGAACCGCAGGACCGACCTATGCAGGACCGACCCGACCCGACTGACTCGTCGTCACGGGATCGTGGTCGTTCCCCACCTCCCCCTGCGCGAGCTCGTCGTCCTCGGCCTCGTGTGACACGTGTGACGTGGCCTCGATGGACGGGAAACTACAGATCAACTCGGAAAGAAGAGGATACTTAGAGTAGACTAGCATGTTTAGTCTTGGTGAGTTGTGGAGTTCATCAGTCACCTGGAATCAGGTCGGGCCCCAGTCAACAATTAGGACACACCCGATGGCCACACACCCGATTGATGCGAATCAGCGCGACATGTTCAAATGAGCCCCCCTAACTGTGACGCCATCAACTCCTACAACGGTCCTCCACGCGCCAGAAAGCCCGAACAAACGGCCTCCTGACTTCGGCTAAAACGGTGCCCCAACGGTCCTCCATGCCAAACCCAGGTCGAATCATTTCGTGGCTGGCACTGGAATGACTGAGAAGAGCCATATACCGATCCATTTGCGACCAAATTCTTTTCGCCAAGAAGTCGGGTCCAGGCCATCTGCCATCCATACGAGGGGGCTGGTGCAAGGCTGTCGACTTTCGATTTGAAAAACCAGACTCCAAAAACCCTCGCAGGAAAAATAGATCTAAAAGGCAAACAAACAAACAAACAAACGGTACCGTTTCAAGGCCCGCGGAAGTTGTCTTTTTGTTGGTGGACAACTAATTGGTCGCCTCACTCCCAAACCTTCGAAGCAACCGAAGCGCTTCGAAAGATCTGGCCCTGCGCATCCCGGGATGTTCTGGGCGCCAGAACGATCGACCCTGCTACGAACTCGTGAAGTAGAGGTGGTGGAGCAGCACCGTCCAACACGTCGGTGGGTCACACGTTTGATCCGATCGCTCAAAGCACGGTGTGGCCGGTTCTTAGTCCCGGAGACCACACCCCGGAAAAGGGCCATGTCTACCAATCGATTGTTCCTTCGTGCATCCCAAATACCGCACGTAGAAGAGCCCAAAAAAGAATCCAGAGCCACCAGACTCGCTGTGACTCGCAGCCACTCCAAATGAAGCAACTGATGGTTTCCTCCGCCGAAAACCCAGCGACCGCCTGCGTGCGTTCCTGTCCGTCCAAGGCGTCCCAGTCAAAGGTCTCCATGCCGAGCAACGGGTGGGTCTATTGTTGCTAAGAGATAAGACCCATGCTATACTTAAGGGTCTTATACTTAAGAGATAAGATTGTTGATAAGGTGGGTCTTATACTTAAGAGATAAGATGTTTACTTATAATGCATCTGCATGTATTGGGTTGATCAACATGTTTATGGGTCATAACTAACTGCAGGCTTTGAAAGTTCACCCGAACAGAAGCCAAACAAATACGCTTTGACCGTCTTGTATGTTACGGGAATGTCCGGTTCACCGCTTCTTGTTTACCGGAGACTTCCTCTCACGTGTCTCACCGAGCCAAAAAAGGGCTGAGCTTCGGCGATGACTCGGAGCTCGAGGAGCCGGCGTCGAACCGGCCCGACTGCGCGGTTTCTCTGTTCGTGTTCCATGCAGGAACACGACCGCGGTCTCGTACGGCAGTCATTCATGTGTTCCGGTTCGAAGTGTAGAAAGCGGAACTTCATTGATGTCAGATAATGGTGTTTTCTGGCGAACTTCACCGGTCCAGAAAATGGCACCAGAGGTCCTTTTCTGCCGTCTGCCGGCGCAACTGGTCCTCTGCCCGATAGTTCGACCGCTCCGGGTCCAAATGGGCGGAGAAAAGGAGGTTTCCAACGATCTTCAAAGGAAAAAGACCAGACCCAGGTGCGGATCTGGAGAGTGTGTCGGAGTTCTGGGGGGTCGGTGTTTGAAAGTTCTGAAACCTGGTGGAAGTCCGCCGTCATCGTGATGGCTTGATTTAAAAAAGAAATCGAAAAAACACATAAATGGAAGAGTCAAAGTTAAAAATGAAGTCAAATTGAAAAGTAAAAATTATACCAGCGTAGACCCCAAACAGAGCAATGTTCAAGAATGAGATCTCCGAACAATATGGCCAGCAGTATTTCCTAGAGGAAGAAAACTGTAGTCCACCATGTAGACGCACATACAAGATTCAAAGGGAAAGCGTTAAAATTCTGTTTTTCATTGACTTTACAATGGGACGCCGGCCAGAGCACTCAGAGCATCCAGAGCTTACTGGGAGACAAGTGGGAGACAAG